TGGCCCAATCAAAGATAATACCCCCAACACATAGTGTTGTAGGGTATAAAAACCTGAATAATAATAATGACTTTAATGTATTTAATACATTGAATTCTTGTATTATGTTACTTTTTCAAATATATATATAAAAAAAAAACTTGAAGTAAAATAACATAAAATTTTTAGTTTCTCTAATGTATTTAATACATTGAATGTAATAAAACTTGAGTACATTTTTAAGTATAGTGTAAAATTTTCAATAAAATTTACTTGAATACAAACTTCATATAAATTATTCAACTTTTTTACAGTTTGGGCGGATATGGTCGATTTTGGGCGGTTTTTAGAAAAAATTTGGGCTGAAATAAAAATTTCAAACGGCAACACTGACAGGCATGTGTACATTTGTATCTCTCTATTTCTCTCTTTCTCTCTCTCTTACACTTTATGCTAGACTAGGTTAAGGAAAATTATCATAACTAGAACTTAAGAATTATTTTAAATGAATAAAACAGTGTAGTAACAAAAGTAAAACGGTGCATACATTTCTTCCGCGTACACTCAGTGAGCTTTCAAACCAGAACTTAAATCCGTCTACGAAAAACTGGGCAGTTCATCCCGAGTATCCCCACAGTAAACTACTAACGTTTTTACCTTGAGTTCCCAATCCATCTCCACAACCAACATCCCAACCACCTACATCGCATACCCCGATTGTTCACCGCTCGTCAACACAATGAAGTTCCCGATCTCCTTCAAATTGTCAACATTCCGAAACGGCGAGGTGACGGAGCCCAATTACCGTAATTTTCTGATTAAATTCAACGCGTTAACAACCGGCGACCATAAGATCCCGATTACCTTAATATCGGCCACATTTCCGAACGCCAGCATCACCCGAATACAAATATCTTAATTCCTGATAACAGTCAAATCGTCTACAACCGGTGACCACAAGTTCCCGGTTACCTTCAAATCGTTAACGGCATTACCCAAACGTTGACGCAACATTGTAATTCCCGATCTTTCTCACCAAACAACATCCGACGGCAATCCACAAGTACCCTATTACCTCCGAATCGTTGGGTAATAACACTTCATATCAACCACCCCAGTACCTATTGTGAACAACCCGAAAGCATCGTTTCCGATTGTCCACGAGTCGTTCGCCTCCTTGCCCACGAGACGATTAAACGTCGAATTCTCGATCAACAATCAAAACAACACAACTTTGAATTCCCGAACAACTTCCAAGTCCATCCGCCATTATTTATTCAATATCCATCGTATCGTATTTCGATGCAAATAGATTGTAATTTAGTATCAACAAGTAAAAAAGCTGTAAGTTCGGCCGGGCGGAACTTTGAATACCCTCCACCATTTGGAACGATTTTGGCAACTCTAAAAACAATAAAATCAGTTAAAAATTCTGTTAAAATCTTAAAAATACCGAATGTAGCTGTTACATTAAGGTCTATACGACGACATGGACCTGTATAGGTAACATTTGTCATAAGCCACTACAATATTCAAATGCCAAACTTAAAAAAAAAACAAGTAAAAAAGCTGTAAGTTCGGCCGTGCCGAACTTTGAATACCCTCTACCATTTGGAACTAATTAGGACATTTTCAAACAATAATAATAAAATCCATTAAAAATTCTGTTGAAATCTCGGAAGGTGCCGTTATACGGGGGGATAAACGATATTGTGGGCCTATATAGACAAATCTATGTCTAGAGATAAAGTACTCACAAATAATTCCTTGTATAGAATTTAAGATAATTCCGTTTAAAAATGTAGCTAAAATCATCAAAATACCGAATATCGGGGGGTACCGGTATATAGGGTTTATACGATATTTAGGATCTATATAGACAATTCCCTTTCAGGTGGTAAAGTGCTCACAAGGAACCCCTTGTGTAGAATTTTAGACAATTCTGTACCGTCATATGGGGGCTATACGATATCGTGGACCTATATAGATAATTCTTAGCCAAGGGATAAAGTACTCACAAAGAACTCCTTGTGTAGAATTTCAGACAATTACATTGAAAAATGTGGCTAAACTCATCAAAATACCGAATATCGGGGGGTACCATTATATGGGGGATATACGATATCGTGGACCTATATAGACAATTATCTTTCAGGGGGTAAAGTGCCCACAAATTGCCCTCGTGTGGATTTTCAGACTATCCTATTAGAAGATGTGGCTAAAATCATCAAAATACAGAATATTGGGGGTACCTTTATATGGGGGCTCTACGATATCATGGACCGATATAGCCCATCTTCGAACTTGACCTGCCTGCAGACAAAAGAGAGATCTGGGAAAAATTTTAGTATTCTATCTTAATTCGTTTAGCCTGTAGCGTGATTACAACAGACGGGCAGACGGCCGGGCGGACAGGGCTAAGTCGTCTTAGAATTTTACGCTGATCAAGAATATATATACTTTGTTGGGTCTAAAATGATTATTTCGATGAGTTACAAACGGAATGACGAACTTAATATACCCTCCATACTATGTATGGTGGAGGGTATAAAAATAATCATCAAAATACCAAATATTGGGAGGTACCGTTATATGGGGGCTATACGAAGACGTGGACATGCACAGACAAATTTCTGTCTTTGGATGTAGTATCCATTACGAACTTCAAATACCAAATTTGAAACAATTCCGGTGAATAATGTCGCTAAAATCATCAAAATACCGAATATTGGGAGGCACTGTTAACTGGGGGCTATACGAAGACGTGGACCTGCACAGACAATGTTCTGTCATAGGCTGTAGTATTAATTTCAAACTTCAAATACCATATTTGAAACAATTCCGATGAATTTTGTAGCAAAAATCATCAAAATACCGAATATCGGGAGGTACCGTTATATGGGGGCTATGCCAAATACATGGCCCATTTTCAATACTAAAAGTCCTACGGACATAATATAAATTTGAGTAAAATTTTAACAATCTACTTCAATTCGTTCGGAAACTAGAGTGATTTCACAGTCAATATTTTGAATAACAAAACGCTCATAAAATCGAAATAAACATCCAATTCTCTTTAAATTTCACACCTCCCAATATTTTAATCAACGAAAGATCTGGAAATTTTCAATACTTCAAAATTTTGATTATCACATAAAATTGGAAAAATTATAATGAGCGGAGAACATCGTCGTAACATTGAGGACTACATCTATATATTTATAGATATTTAGTAGGTCCTAATCACATTTGTATCACATGATATAAAAAGGCCCAACCTTGTGTCATTTTCACTACTCCAATGTTCTGAAGATTTTGGTGCCACTTTTCAAATGGCCCAATAATTGTTCACAACAGCGATATGGCATTCTCCATGGCATACATACGTCTGCCCGCCTCCAGCATTTGCCAAAAAGTATGTGCAAAGGTGCCATCTTTACAACCAAATGTCTGGCTGTCTGGTTGGCTGGCTGCCTGCCTGGCAGGCTGACTGAGTGACTGACTGTTAATGGTCATGTAAAAGCGGCAAGGTTATACAATTTTTGATTTTAAACTGAACAATGGTTATAACAAAAAACTCACACACACGCACACACTCACACATTTTGGGGAAGGAAGTTCATACACCAAATCATTGGCAGAGCATCTGTAACAGAGGCGACAGAGAGGTGGAGGTGGCATCACCACCCCCACACACGCACACACACATGAAGTGGATAAGGCATTAAACGGAAACCAGTGAAACAACCCAGCAAGCATTTGGAAGTGTGTGACTCACTTCCATTTTAAGATGCCACTTCTGCGACGCTTCTAATCCTATTAAATGCGATAGTATGCACTTTTACAATAACAAAACTACTGTTGTCTACTTTCTATCGTCACGTAGTTGCTATTTAGTGGCGTCAAGAAACTTAAACGAAGGTGTCGCGTGTGCAGACACTATCTAGTGACTACCATCGGATAAAACAGTGATAGTTTGCCATCATTTACGAGTTGAACATAAATAAGACTTTATTCTATCTGAGGAATATAAGACACTGTGGCGCAGTGGTAAGCATGCCGGCTTTGCTCTCTGAACACCTCGGTTCGATTCCCAATCCAGACATCACATTTTTAAAACGAAAAAAAAATGTTTGAGAATTTCATCTAATAAGCAGTAGTTCTATGCAAATGAACATTGGAAAAAGAGACAATAACAATAAAAAAATAATAAATGCTTAAGTCTGGAGTAAATTTTTTTTTTTTTGTTTTTTCACTTCCAATAACTATCGAGGAAGTGACTTCCACGATTTTTAGAAAACTATCGCGGGCGTGGTTCATCTCTTCCCGAAGGATGATCCTTCCGGGGTGAGAAATCAGACGCGATGATTTCAATCGCTTAGGCGTGACTTCTAAGTGATTTGGGGGATAGATTTTGCTTGCTGGGAATAACGAAAAGAAAACCACTAGTGGGAGTGTGAGAGTGTGAGAATAGAGAACTTACAGTTGTTTTGCTGGGAGGCAATGTTAAAACATATGTTGGTGGCTGGCTCTCTCTCTCTCATTTTCTCTCGTTGGCTCATTGTGGGTGCTGTGGCGGCCAATAATAAAAAGAAACAAACAGATGCTGTAAAAGAGATTGTGGCTTACTTGAGTTAATAGTGAGACACAAACGGTAACGGCAGATTTAATGGGAGCGGAGAGTAAATTTAAGCTGTTAATTTTGTTGCCTGTGTTGTAAAAATTGTTCATAATTTAAGTAATTTGTTGCTGTTATTGTTATTGTCAGCAAGTTATTAGCGGATTTCCGTTAAAGCTTTCTTCCCTCATTACTAGCGTTATGATTTTTCTCCCCCCCCACACACACATCAATGGTGGGTGGGAAAAAGCTTTTTTTACTCTCATGCTCAGGCTCTCCCACTCATAGGGATTATGCTCTCGGAGGATTACATTTCCTAATTTGGTGGGCCGCATAACGGTGAAAGCCCAACAAAAAGAGTGAATCGAAATCATTGTCACTCATACGTCCAGCTGGACGACAACAATTTTTGTGTCAGTTTTCTGTGAAATGTTGCGCAAAGCAGATAAATGCGTAGCGAATCTTTGAATAAATTTAAATTAAAGCAAAGCAAAAAAAAAAAAAAATACAAACAACAAAAACAAATATCAGTTTAAGCAACAGCAACAGCAGCATCAGCATTACAATAACAACAAAAACAATAAAAATTTAAAAAAAAATCTGAAAATTCTGGAAGAAAAATTTTTGCTCAATTTAAAAATGTGAAAAAATCGAAATTTTCATTCAAAATTTATTTTCAAATGCTCAACGCCTCTGCTTTGAACCAAATTGGAAACGGAAGTGAAAAAATGTAAAAATAAATTTCATTTAAAATTTAATTAAAGTTACTTGGAAAAAGCAAAACGAAACGATTTGAAAAAAAAAAACAGGCACCTACTTTTTGTTCGCTCTCTTCCTTTGCAAAACCAGAAAAACGAAGGCTAAATTTCCATTCGTTATTGTCCCGTTGTGTTGTTGGTCTTAACAATTTTCGTGTTGTTCGTGCGTATTGCCAACGATGATGTATTTTGTGTGCGAGTGTGTGCGTGTGTGTGTGTGTGTGAGCGAGTGCTACGCTATCCCGTGTGTGCGGGTGTCAGATATGTAGATGTGTGTGTGAGTGCGTTTGAACATACAAAGTTGTAAGGATATGTTGTTGATGTTGGTTGTTTGTCACCCACTCCCCTCCTTCTGCTTCTCATCCACAGCTTCGCTCACTTAAAGAGAGTAGAGACATTCGATATGTGCTTGGCTGGTATGGTATGGCATGGCATTCAATGTAGATAGGTCCTGATTCCAAATGCTGAGGTTGTTACTGAGGTTGCAAGGAAGGTATTTTCAAGCTCATTCATTCATTTTTCCCACACATACATATACAAGGATCCACCTACACACACGTACGGAGACATATAATTGTGTGTGTGTGTGTTGTTTTATTTCATTTCTTATATGTATATTGTTTTGTTATTGCTTTCCCAGTAAATTGTTGTTGTTGGTGTTTTGTTTTTGGTTTAAGTTTTCAGTGCCACTGTGTCGTTGGTGGCTTCCGTACACACCTCGATCCCCTCTCTTTGCTAGGAAGATGGATTTGATTGTTGTTATCCTTAACCATAGGTAGCTTTGGGTTTTTTTTATTTGTTAATTTTGCTCCTGGCAATGTTAGTTTTTGTTTTTTCTTTTCTCATCTTACTTTTACAGATGTTTTTGTTGTTGTTGTTGTTTTTTCTCTGCACACAAACTACAATTTTCTGGATTCGCTCTTGTCAATGACACAGCGAATGCGAGCGAGCCAGCAAAAACAAACTGGATTTATGTCAAAGTCATTATAAGTAGGTTTTTATCTTTGTTTGAATCTATTTTGGTGTTTTTTTTTTTCTTCGTTATTTATTTATTTGACTTTTTTCTGCTGCGTATATTTAAAGTAATTCCATTCGATTTTCATTAAGTGAAATTACAGTTATTTGTCGAAGTTCATTGCGAACCAAGTTGTAATGTTGTTTGAAATGAAATTCAAGACTTTTGGGGAACTTGTTTTTCCAAGAAGCCAAGGGGACACTTGTTTGAAATTTTTGTTGGGTTTAACTTTCCATTTTTTATTCGCTTGAAATGTTTGAGTATACACTTTTTCATAAAACCTGAAACTTATAATTTTCTCTTCTACTTAATTTTAAAAAAGGTTTATATTGCATTAAAGTTAATAATACTTTATCATTATTTGTTTCTAGGCTGTAGGAAAGATAAGGCTCAGCCCTTAAAATTTTATCAATCATTTTTAATAGCAATACTACAACAAAATCAACTCAACAAGAACCGCATAGAAATTTGTTATTTTTTGGTAATGCTAGTGTAAGATTTATATATCTAACTAGTAAGGAAAGGGTGGAACCGACTATATGATACCCTACACTACTATGCGTATTTAGTAGAGCTTCTATAACAAAAAATGTTTATTTTGGGAATAGTCACAATTTGGAAATATCCAACTCTAAATCGGTTTCAACAAATTTCACGGAAGCTATTGTACCTCTGGTACCAAATAACATTGCTGTATAGTGCATGATATGACTTCGATAAGGAATATATTCAAAAATATTTATTGCAGTAATAGATATTCCGCACCGAGTTTCACCAAATGGAAAAATTCGTTTGAATATGAAAAAATCTATTCAATTTGGGCTGATATTACATAAATGGTGGTGATCGGATGAAGATGTCGAAGTTTTATAAAAATCTGAACCAAGTTATAATTATATCTGAACCGATTTTCACCAAATTTGGTGTGCTTACATCTAGACTGATTTCGGTCGGTTGTGTCACAATTCACTCCATTTGGGCTAATATTAGCCATTTGGAACTCGAAAACCCTGAAATCGGATAAATATATATAGGGGAGCTATATCCAAATCAGAACCGATCTCGATAAAATTTGGCAGATGTATTTTCGAACAGTATCTGATGTACGGTAACAAATATTATTGTTGTGGAGTGCAAATAACGCATGTGAAGAACTTATAAAGCCAAATCGGATGAAACACATACATGGGAGCTATAGCTATATCTGAACCGATTTTCCCCAAATTTGATTTACTTACATCTAGACTGAATTCGGTCGGATGTGTCAAAATTCAAGTTATTTGGACTGATATTGGCCATATGGTGCACAATTAACCCGAAATCGGTTGAAGATATATATGGGAGCTATATTTAAATTTGAATCGATTCTCGCCACTTTCAAAGGGATTCGTCCTTGGATCAAACAAATATTGTTTTGTAAATGTCATCTCAATCGGATAATAAATGCGATCTGCATTTTGCTCGCAAAAATAAGTCGACTCAGAAAGTGATTCTATGAGGATCTTCAAAAGTTACTATGGGTCTATCTCGCTTCCTTCTCCATGTTACAAACAAATTCACATAGACATAACACCCTTACCACTATGTGGTGTAGGGTATAAAAACAAAGAAGAACTATTGTTTTTCAAAGAACAAATAATTTTGTTTTTTTTTTTCTCTTGACACCTCCTTTCCCCCAGTTTTGGTTATTCTAAACTTTAACCCTTTGTGGAGGAGGTAACAGAAGGAATGGTTCGATCTCTACCATCATTATAACATATCTTGTGTTGATGAACATATTGAGATGTGCCAAGTATGGAATGGAATCGGATATTAATTTCGCGTTTTATGAGCATCATGGATATTCAAACTTTTAACCCTTTGTGGAGAGGTACCAGAAGGAGTAGACCTTGGATTAATAAAAATATTGTGATATGTGTAATTTGAAGGCTATTGGACATTTTATCAGAGTTATAATTATTCCAAATTTTGCCTGTTTGTGGGGGAGGTACTTGATGGAGTAGACCGATATTGTCCATTTTCGCTCCTGACCTAGCACTGATGCAAATATTAGGATGTGCAAAGTTGGAGCAACCTCGGATTATCTTTTCTTTTTGTGCTGCAAATAATTTTCTTTGAAAATGTTGCATTTTATGTGGCAGGTACCAGAAGGAGTGGGTCGATATTGCCCATCTCCAAACTCGATCTAAGTATGTATCAAGTTTAATCAAATCGAATATTCCAGTCGAGAGTTATCGCGAGCAACAGCCAGCCACATCGCTAGATCGACTCTAAATGTTCTGAAACGGATTTGGTCCAAGGAGACCTGGGGTCTAAAACCGTTGAGGCACGTTTTGGCGATATCAGATGATATACACCCTCTCTAGCTTTATGACGGAGGATGTAATTAGCATCAGGTTTGACAAATTGAGAAGGAAGCGAGATAGATCCATAGTTTATTTTGATGATCTGCATAGTATCAAATTCTGAGTCGATTTATGCATGTCCGTCCGTAAATGTATTTTTGTAGACAGAGTACGAATTGCAATTATTGCCTGATCGAGATTAAACTTTGTCATCATTACATTTTGTTCGGCCCAAGGGCGAACCCTATTGAAATTGGAGATAATCGTTTAGAACTCAGATATAGCTCCCAAAAATATCTTCGTCCGATTTGCATTTTATTGTGCATCAAATATGCAATATGAGTTCAAATAGGTTGGAGTTTGGCACGTACAATGAACTTGAGCATAGTGACTAGTTATAGCAATAGCTGCCATATATATTCTTCATCCGATTTTTTACTTTTGTCCTCCACAGTCGTAATATACACCCTGTAACAACTTTATTCGGAGAAATGAATCAAATACAGCTCAGGTATACCCTAGCCAAATTTTTTAATTTTTTCAAAAAATTTCAAAATGTTTGCCCAAGGCTTTTATACACCCCCCAGAATATTTTCGCGATAATATTCGGCATTTATTCTGATGCCACGGTCGATTAATACGAGCGGAGAGAGACCATCGGCTGTTATGGCGGCCCACACCATCACCATGGCCGGCGCTTGAGTTCTGGTGGCCAACCGAAGGTGCACATTTCATCTGACCTCTTTGGCAAGTAAACACGATCATTTTCTTTGTTTACAAACTGCTGGACAACGAATGTTTTCTCATCGGAGAAAACCAAATTCGGCAGTTCACCACTTTCGATCAAGCGAAGCAACTCTCTAGCTCCTTTGAGTCTATTTTCTTTCCGTTGCGGTGTAAGTTTTTGCACTTTTTGGAATTTCAATAGCTTTACCCCGAGCTCATTTTTCAATATTTTCCGAATGGAATATTGCGATATGTTCAGCTCACGAGCCATTTTTCAGTCGCTTCTTTACTTTTCGAACCATTTCTGCTGATGTTGCTGTTTTCTTTCATCCACTTCCTTGACGTCGGGCTACGCTACCAGTATCACGGTAACGAGCGATGGTACGAGACACAAACGATTTATTCACCTTTAAATGCTGGAGTGCTCTAACGATAGCCACTTATGGTTTTCCAGCCACATATAAAACCAGTAAGGAAAGCTCAAAAGTCGGGCGGGGCCGACTATATGATACCCTACACCACTATGCATATTTAGTAGAGCTCTCGTAAAAAGTTTTATACAGGGCATTTCAGAGCTCTATGAGATATTTGGTACAAAATCAAAATCTATCTAATTCTATCGTGCATTTTACGAACTATAGCTATCTCTGAACCGGGTTTCTCCAAATTTTACGTATTAGCTTCTAGACTGAATTCGGTCTTATGTACGAAATTCAGGTATTTGGGCTGATATTGACCATTTAGTGCACATTTAACCCGAAATCGGATGAAGATATATATGGGAGCTATTACCAAATCTGAACCGATTTCGGTAAAATTGATGTACTTGCTTCTAAGCTGGTTTCGGTCGGATTTGCCAAAATTGATGCTATTACGGCCATTTGGTGGTCAATCACCCGAAATCGGATGAAGATATATATGGGAGCTATATCCAAATCTGAACCGATTTCGATAAAATTTAAAACAGCTATTTCTGTGCTCCATCTAATTCCTGGTACCAAATATCACGGTTGTGGAGTGCATAGTAGGGATGTGAGGGACTTAAAGAACAAATCGGATGAAAGATATATATGGGAGCTATAGCTATATCTGAACCGATTTTCTCCAAATTTGATATACTTACTTCTAGGCCGAACTCGGTTGGGTGTGCCAAAATTCAGGTAATTTGGACTGATAGTGGACATTTGGTGCACATTTAACCCGAAATCGGATGAAGATATATATGGGAGCTATATCTAAATTTGATCCGATTCTCACCAATTTCAATAGGGTTCGTCCTTGGGCCAAAAATATATTGTTTGGAAAATTTCATCTCAATCGGATAATAAATGCGACCTGCATTTTGTTCACAAGAATACATGGACAGACGGACGGACGGACGGACAGACGGACTGACATGCATAAATCGACTCAGAAAGTGATTCTATGAAGGTTCTCAAAAGTAACTATGGGTCTATCTCGTTTCCTTCTCCATGTTACAAACAAATGCACAAAGACATAATACCCTTACCACTATGTGGTGTAGGGTATAAAAATCACACAATCACGCTTGAATTCCAGCACAAATAACTTTTTTTCTGGAAAATTCTCACAAAAATGCTTTGGTACGCTTGTCAGCAATATATTGTGCTGTCACTGGAATAATTTTAACAGATGTCGGACAAGTGACTTAGAAATGACAGCAGTCTGAAGTTGGTTGGTATATGTTTCTTCTTATTTTGTATTAAAGTGTCTCGCACCCGTAAAATGTTCTCCACAACAACGATATTTGGTCCCATCTATTAGATACAGCATAGAAATACCTCTGCCAAATTTTATAGAGATCGGTTTAGATTCATATTTTAATTCTACTTCTCGTTTGTTGTGCCTAAGATTTGTAATATCAGGTCAAATAAGATGGATTTTAATGAATATCAAATTTAGTAGAAATCGATTTAGAGAAGAATATACCTCCCATATGTAAGTTCATTTTGCCTTTAAATTATAAATCCTATAGCCTTAATACACATTCACAAATTATCATAGTTGGTATGATTAATGTTTATAAATTCCCCATAAAAAACGTTTATTTGTTACGAGTAGCTCTACTAAATATGCGCAGTGATGTAGGGTATCATAAAGTCTGTCCCAACTGACTTTTGGCCTTTCTTTACTGATTTTATTTTGTCCTCTGCTGGTATATAACTCTCTATCTTCGTATGTGTATTTAAGGGCTTTGTCTCAAACCTTACATGTACATAAACGACGGTGAGCCGAAAGCACGCACACACATATATCTTGTGTCTCTGTTACTCATTACTAAATTCTGAGGAAATGATTACTGTGACACTAAATTTTTTGTTGGAATGTAACATACTCTTCGATTGGACGTCTTCGGGGTGTGTTCACCCGTTACAGAATTATCGAGTGGATATTAGAATTCTGTATTTTTTCTTAAATCAATTTTCGAAGCCATTATTTAAATTTCCGCCTCTTTTGAATTTTGCAGTACTAATTGAAATCGAAATGAAACTAATTACAAAACTAAGTACCTGTGGATAATACAAAACCCCAAAAAACAATTCTGCAAACATTGTTTTAAAACAATTCACTAAATGAAACTCAGCCAAGCGAATTCTTCAATTGCATAAGTGTTAAAAAAAAGGATATGAAAACATTTTCCAAAAAAATATAATTTAATTTAACCTCCACACAAATAAACCACCACCAGCAATTAAGAGCAGTGTTGGTAACTTATTAATTAAGCCAAACAAAAAAAGTATAACTATCTTCATACTCACACAAACAAAAAAGAAATATTTAATCAAAATCAACAAGTTCCATAAAAGACAAAGACAATAAACAACAAGTTCAACAAAAACAACAATAAATAAATTAAACTCTTAACCAGGCGACAAAGCAGCACTTTTATTGTCCCTTCGGGAAGTGACAATTTTCATTCAGCTATTTAAAATTTTTAATGAAATTATTTTGAAAAGGCGACGAAAAAAAACTAAAAATTTCATATTTAATTTTCATGCAATTCAAAGCACGAGTCCTTCAACTTAAACTACGTTGTTGACTATTGATGCCACACATACGAGAGTACATACAACACAATACCCAACTGTGCGAGTGTGTGTGAATGTACACATGAGGACAATCTCTTAGAATTGTATTTACTGGACAATAAGCATAGGAACAACAGCAACAACTACTACAACATGAAATAAATGCGACATCGTCGACGACGACAACAATGACGATGACAACAAAAGCCACAATAGTATGCATATGGTAAGTACACGTGTTATTAAATATACATACATACATACGTATACGACATACAATAATGTACACAAATATTCATATATGCTACATGTATGTGTGTGACTACACATATTAACACACACGCTTACACACATAGTCATATGCGTACTTTTTTTGTTCGCAATGAGACATAATAACAAACAAAGCTCATAAAATGTTACAGTATCCGTTTAACTTATTATTACCCATATTCAAATGGGGGGAGTGTTTTGTAAAATTCACCGGAAAAAAATTGATGAATTGTTGGTAATTTATAAATTTGAAGATATTCAAGAATAATAGGCTGGCAGAATTGTGTGACTAGAATGGTTTAAAAACCAATCTAGCATATAAACTAGTTAAAACGCAAGCATGGTTGGAAATAAGGAGGATTTCTAAAAGTAAAAATAGCACTATTTTCAGCCAACAAGATGAGCAAATGAAAACATTGGAGAATATGCCCGAATGAACCCGTTTCAATTTTTTTTTTGGCAGGACTTATTTATTCCTAATAATCCCAAATAACATTCTAAATAGAAGTGGATGTCAATGCATAAAATCTGAACGAAATCTCTCAAATACCCAAAAAACCCTGAATAGGAAACTTTACCAAAACGTAATACGATTTTTTTTCAAATGAGAATCCCAAATATTAAACTATACCTATTTGCGGTATAGAATAGAATACAAACCATCAATATTTTAAGCCGTTACAATGGAGAAATGCCAATGGCAAAAACTTAACATATTTGTTTGTTAACGGAATGTGAACTCCATATACATACTATATCTAATTCTGTTTCGAAATAATATCAATATTTCAAAACGTGAACCGATTTCGATTTTATGCAGAGTTGACGAACCAAATGTAAACTTCTAATACCAAATTATACCTATTTCCATTGCCAAATGTGAACAAGCCTAACAAAATACCTGAAATCGGTCGGAATCCTGTTTTTTGAGGCCATAAGATACCAACCCAGATACCAACATTAGCTAATTCCTCTGAAATAATGAAGACCTGAAAGTTTTCTTCAAAGAAAAATAATAAGACTTAAATTTGTAAGATTTGAGAAAACCACGAGAGTAGAATATTTTTTTACAAAAAATCAAAGAAAAACAAGTAAAAACGCTGTAAGTTCGGCCGGGCCGAACTTTGAATACCCCCCCACCATTTGGTAAAAAATTAACAATTTTCAAAAAAATAAAATCCCTTAAAAATCTGTTAAAATCTTGAAAATACCTAATGTAGCCGTATATTAGAGTCTATACGACGATGTGGACCTGCATAGGTAACTTTTGTCACAAGCTAAAATCATCAAAATACCGAATATCGGGGGGTACCGTTATATGGGGGCTATACCAAGGCGTGGACCTGCACAGACAACTTTCTGTGATAGGCTGTAGCATCCATTATGAACTTCAAATGCAAAATGTGAAACAATTCCGGTAAATAATGCCGCTTAAATCATCAAAATGCCGAATATCGGGAGGTACCGTTATATGGGGGCTATACGAAGACGTGAACCTACTTTACCCATTTTCTGTTTTATGCTGTAGTATCTATTAAAAACGTCAAATACTAAAACTGAAACAATTCCGGTAAATAATGTCGCTAAAATCATCAAAATACCGAATATCGGGGGGTACCGTTACATGGGGGCTATACGAAGATGTGGACCTACTTTACCCATTTTCTGTTTTATGCTGTAGTATCTATTAAAAACGTCAAATACTAAAACTGAAACAATTCCGGTAAATAATGTCGCTAAAATCATCAAAATACCGAATATCGGGAGGTACCGTTATATGGGGGCTATACGAAGACATGGAACTACATAGCCCATTTTCTGTCTTAAGCCGTAGCATCTATTATGAACTTTAAATATTAATTTTGAAACAATTCCAATAACAAATGTCGCTAGAATCATCAAAATACCGCATATCGGGATGTACCGTTATATGGGGGCTATACGAAGACATGGACCTACATGGCCCATTTTCAATACCAAGAGTCCTGCAGACATAGTACACATTTGAATAAAATTTTATCAACCTACTTCATTTCGTTCGGAAGCTAGAGTGATTTCCACAGACGGACAGACGGAGAGACGGATAGTCGGACGGACATTCATAAATCGACATATAATTTTATGCTGATCAAGAATATATATACTTTGTGGGGTCTAAAATGTGTATTTCGAGGTGTTACAAACGGAATGACAAACTTAATATACCCTCCATACTATGGTGGAGGGTATAACAAAATAAAAAATAGAAAAAGTAGTCAGGCTTAATCCTATTATTGTTGTTTTTATAAAAACGACATTTGTTTATTAGTGGAGAAATATGGTAATGTTTATTAGGTCGTAGGGAATACCTAGGTTTCGGAAAGAGCCACCAATCTTCATTGTTTTTGTCTGGAATATTCTACCCAGGATTTATTTTAATAATAAACAACTTTTTTACCCATGTGACGAGATCGTAAGTTCAATAGAAGAGGAACCATAGAATTCAATTAAACCAAAATTCTTATGGAAAATCTTCCAAATCCTAAATGCAGAACTTCATTTTATTAAACAACATACAATTTCAATTGAAGCTATTGAAGAACAAAATGATTAATTCTTGTCGATAAACGTAGAAGAACATAATAAAATACGATGTGTAGCGCAAAGTATTTAAAGGTTAGCCTTAGCCTTAGTTTCAGATATCAGCAGCCCTTCCATAGATATGTATTCAATACTTTTTCTATATTCAAAAATCTTTCAAGGCATCTAAAAGATTTTCGGCTTAATCTAACATACTAATACCTAGTGTTATGACTAAGTTCTTCCATCGACTAAATTTTCAGCAAAAAATAAAAAAAAAACTAAAACTAATTATTTTTGAGTTAAGCTTAAGTATTGTGAAATAATCACATATCTCCGCATACGTCCAAGCTATGTGACTATTCTGCATCCAATTAAAATATGAACATTAAAACTGCATCTAAACTGGTACAGAAATTTTAAGATATAATCACAACATATCCAAATCTTCAAAATACATCAAAATTGGCAAAGTCTCTTATTGATCAATATCCTGCTGTATCTCGATCCGCATATAAAATTTTAAAGTTCGCTCAATAATAATTCCTATTCAGTACTTTTAGAAACCTTACTGTCCGAGTTACCTCATGCTTAATTTCTATAGTCTCTAAGTTCTTTTCAGAAGCTTTTTAATAAAATTTTTATATATCTTGTCGTTTTCAACCCTTTTCAATAAAGAAATGACCCTCATGCCAATAGTAGCCTTATTCTTTTGCAATAACACATTTCTGATTCCTTTAAGAGCCAAAAATGTTCGATTTTTCAAATCGTATTTTGAATAAAATTCGGCAGACGAAATTACATTCCATCAGAAGGCCAACTTTAACCGTACACTAATTTTAAATTTGGTACCCTCAGCCTTATGGCTAGATAGGGTATATATCAAAGCGTGCGTAGTCAAAATAATGGTTTTAGACTCTAGGTCTCTTTGGACCAAATCCGTTTCAGTATGTCTGGCTGGGCGCACGATAACTCTCGAAGGGAGTATCCGATTTGGTCCAAACTTGGTACATCGTAATATTATTATCTAATTTAGGTCGAGTTCGGAGATGGCCAATATCGATCCACTCCTTCTGGAACCTCCCCCATAAAAGGTCGAATTAAAAATTAAAAAACAATAATTTACTGCACAGAAATAGAAATGATAATACGATTTTGTTCCAACTTTGCGAATGCTAATATTTTCATCAGTGCTATGTCAGGTGCGAAAATGGACAATATCGGTTCACTCCATCGAGTACCTTCACCTCAAAGGGTCAAAATTTTGAATAATTAAAAGTCTAATAAGATGTGATATAAGAGGCCGATTGTCTTCAAATTACACACATCACAATATATGTATTAACCCAAGGTCTGGGGTGGATATGGAATATATCGGTCAACTCCACCAAGTGCCTCCCCCACAAAGGGTTAAAATTTTGAATAATCATGAAGCTCATAAAACACGATTCCATTCAGTCTTGGTTCATCTAAATGTTTCCATAAACGCAAGATCTGTTATAACAATGGTAGAGATCGGACCATTCCTTCTCGTACCTCCCCCTACAAAGGTTCATAGTTTTGAATAACCAAAACGATTATAAATTCCGAAATACGCATCCGGTTCTCTTCATATTTCGCACATCCCCTTACTTCTACTAACGCAATACATCGGAATACATCGGTTCACTTCTTGTGGTACCTCCCCCACAAAGGGTCAAAATTTGAAGAAGGAATACATCGATCCACACCTTGTGGTACCTCCTGCACAAAGGGCCAAAATTGTAATATCCATAAAATGCGAAATTAATAACCGATTCCATTCAGACTTGACACATCTCAATAAATCCATCAACACAAAATCTTTTATAAGAATGGTAGGGATCGGAAAATTTCTTATGGTACCTCCTCCACACGGGGTTTATGATTTTAAAAAGAAAAACGCTCAATGAAAGCGATGTAAGCATGCAACCCTCTTCATATCTCACACACATAAATATTTTTGCTAACACAAGATCTGATGTGAAGATGCTATATATCTGCGAACCCCTTCTGGTACCTCTCCCACAAAGGGTCACAATTTTCAATACTTTTATCGGTCATAATTTGCGAAACAATGCATCGTTTCTTTAAAACTTGCGATATCTAAATATTTCTCTCAACCAGAGACCTGAGATGATTACGGAATTTATGATTTCGCATAAAATTGGATATAAATGTTCGATTTTCTTTTAATTGTGCCTATACCAATATTTTTATCTGTATAAGAAATATGAAAATGGATTACTTGGGATGACTATATCCGGTACCTCACACACATTTTCCAAAAATTATCACATATGTTATACAAAGTGAAGGAAGTAGTCGATATAGTCCAAACCTGGCACGTCGCAATAATTATATCATATTTATTTATGT